ATTACATAAAGAAGTTATATAATTTTAAAAGTGGAGTGCTAAAAGTTAAGTACTTGTTGATAAGTGCAACTGCTTGAGTGGCTTTCAAAAATTTAAGAAACAATTATTTATGTGTTACTTTCTGTATGGATAAAAATTCAACGTGTATAAAAACACTGTACTAACAGATAGAACATAGTCAAAAACTATGCTGATGAATGTACATTATGGCTACTCACAAACTTAAGAAAAAGACAGTCTTGGAATTATATGCCTCCATATCATGTTAGCTTTTGTTTAAGATTGGAAAGGTTGCCAAAGTGTATATATCAAAATTAATGCATAATACTGTAGACTATGAAAATGGGTAACTAAACATACAAATGGTCATCCTTAAAGATGCCACATCAAGGGCTACATGACTAATGACTTCATGGCTAATTTAATGCAATATAATCCCTAAGAATTATTTTAAGTTTAAGATCTCTGCTGCTCATAGGAATTTATAAATTTCCTTCCTTAATGGTAATATTATTTATCAAAATAAGTCTTTATTTTAACCTTGTAATCTATTAAAAAACTATGTCTTCTATTTCACCTTTTATGTATGTAGGAGGGTCATGTTAGAAAATTAATAACCCTAACATTAAATGCTAACACTTATACTTGTTTAGAAATTCCTTGACTTATCTATTGAAATGATTAATCAGAAGCAACCTTTTTCTCTCTTTCTGAAAGAGGTAGGGTATGGGGAACTATCTTATTCTGAAACATGTAAATAATTAATTGCAACTTTACATTAACACTAGGCAATAAATATGGAATAGAATTATATTCCATGGAAAAAGGGCTGGGAGGAAACTGTAGAGAACATGAGCTTTGAAGGCAAAGCTACAAATCTGGAAGCTAAATTCTGTTATATTCATTAATCAACAGAACTTAGACAATTACTTATCTTTTATTCTATTCCACATAAAAATGAGTATAATTTCTATCTTGGAAGGGATTTTTGTGAGGATGAGAGTGGATACTTAATGTTTAAGAGAAGTTATTTCATCTTTCAACAACCTCTACCTACAAAAAAGATAAACTGGTTACTGAAAGATCAAATTATTCTACTTTTTAAAAGTATAACCATACTGTAAATCCTGAGGATATCACAGCAGAAGGAAAGGCCTTCAACCTTTTTGAGGTCACGAAACATTCTGAATTTTGGGGAAAGGGAGGATAATAGACACATGAAAAATTGCTACCCACAACTTCAGGAAGTTCATGGACTCCTTAAAGACTCTATAAAGCTAAAAAAAAAACAAAAAGAATCCCAAGTTAAAAAAAATTAATGTTGTATATCTGACTTACTCCCACCTTAATAATATACAGATATAAAGGAGAAAGAAAAGGATTAAAGAAAATAATCCTTCCCAGTTAAGAGTCACAAGGTTCTCCACCAAACAGAAAAACTCATCCCCACAATGGAAGCAAAAGCTCTACTGACTTGTATTCAATAGCAGGTGCTGCTGGCAGTTTCTACTTTGTCACCACAGGAACATTCAGGAAGCTTTCTTTCCTCTTTACCCTGGAAACTTGATGAAAACCAAACTATGATTGTCCTCAAGGAAAAGAGCTTAGCTCTACTTTCCAAATTAGTGACTTAATAAGGCAAGCTCATTTATTACTTAAAATTGAAGACCATTCTTTTGATTTTTTTGTTATTTCATTTAATGACTTCAAGGGTCACTCGAATCTTCTTCCCCTATGCTCTAACTGCTTTCAAAATGCAAACTATGGAATAAAAAACTACCTAAATAAAGTCAGCATCTAAAACTAAACAAAAAAACTCAGAATCTAAAGTAATCCATTCAAATTCTTGTCAACATGCATATATTAATATACATTCAAGATCATTCAGCCAAGCATTTAGTTGGTAGCAAATGAGTTTTATTTATTGCTTCTACATGGTAACTGCTCAATAAACATTTGCTAAATACATAATATATCCTGAATTCCTATAATAAAAATGAGAATGAAGATAATTGAATATTAATTACATGCACCTAGCATACTGCTTGACACATAACAGAGAATGAACCAATGAATGACTAAATGAACAAATAACAAAAGAAAAATATGATTAAAAATTTTAGACAATCCATATTCCAAAATTTCTGCCTCATTAACAAGCCAGACACTTTAAGGTTTTAGGTAAGTAAATATGAAGGGTAGATTATCAAAAACAGTTTAAAGGTTTCCAGCCTAACATAAATAAGGATGCTAAGAAGCTCCACCAAAATTAAGGGATTACTTGTCCAAAATCATATTATTATTGCTTTGACTCTTGTTGAAACCAAACGTGACTCAAATAAACCTGCTTGTATGCAACTGAGTTCAAGACAAAAAAAAGAGAAAAAAGAAAAACAAAATTCCAAATAGGCATGAAACTGCAGAAACAAAGTTCCAAAGTCAATACTGTTTATTTCAAAGGCTTTTTAAAAAAGCAAAGCCATATAACAAAGTTAAGTAAGCAGAATATCACTGATCTATAAAGAAATCATCTACATTTACCCATTTGGTGTCTAAAAATTGAAAAAGCAACCTCCACATTGGGGAGAAAGTTGAAAAAGTGAGGTAAGTCAGGAATTCCAGGTTGGTTAACAAATCTGGGCATATACTTTCTAGTTTATATATTCCTTCTTGAGATACTATAACTTATTCAGACACACAGGCAGTATTTACTAGAGTGGTTAAGAATTTTCTGTAGGTATACTGGAATCCCCCTACAAATATGACACTTAGCCAGATATTCAAGCTATCTTTTCCTCTTTGTCACCTTATCTAAAATGCAAAGAATGATATACCTATGTCAAAAGATTTACATGAAATGACATATGTATGCAAAACCTGGCACCAAGTTAACTGGTAGTTGCAGTATCCTCAGTAGCCCTAGAATTTCACTACTGGGACAAAACATACATACATGGTATAGTAAATGTTTGTTCAATGTATGAAAGAGAAAATTCCATTAAGAAATTCTGAATGACTGAACAGTTGTGCAGATAAACTAGAAAGAAAAAAGGTTCCAGTTTTCTGTAACATATATTTATTCTGCAAAATAAAGCATGATTTTAAGATTTCATTCAAAAACACTAAGTGCTAGGCACTGTGTCACACTCTGGTGCCAAAAGAAATGATAAGTTGTATGCCAAGTGAAAACAGAATTGGCCCTGAAAAAGGGAATTGAAGGAGGTTTCTCTATACTATAAAGAGGTATTTAGCCAAGGTTTGGGTACAAGGTAGAGAAAGGAATTGAGAGAGTCATATTTTTAAATTAGTCATCTATCCAATACATCAGTGTCACCACAGGAAGAGGAGACCCATTTACATAGGACATTTTGTCTCCCTCACTTACCAAGATACTGAATGCTGAAACATTAAGAAAGGTAACATCAAGATGGAACTCTGGGGTGATGGAAATGTCCTTTACCTTGGTTTGTGTGGTGATTAGATAAGTATATACAATTATCAAAGGTAATACAATTAAGCACTTAAGAACTGTGAGTTGTATTTTATGCTAATTACATCGTTAAAAAATAGTTCTTTAAAAAAGTGCTCCCTACTTTTCTTATTGGAAAATGTGGTAATTTAAACACAGCATGACAGAATTTAAACTCATTATAAAATTAACTACAGAATGATCTAACCCAACTCAAAACACTTTGGGCAAAGTATTCCTTTAACTTTTCAGTGACAGGTGATACAAAAGAAATTCTTTGAGATCACAGACTACTAGAATTTCCTCATGCTTTATTCTGTGCAGAATCTAGAAATAGACATGCACTGTTTGGACACATTTCTTTCACCTGTTGGTCAAAACTTTATGTTTGAGGATTATCGGGGAAATTTACTTGTTTGTTTTCACTGCTTGTCTTGTGTATGTTTGGTGGAAAGGGCTTGGGAGAAAATAGGGCATACCGTACAGGGTTTTCAACTAGAAACCCAAAAACCCGCATCTAGCTGGAGGACTAAAATGTACGGGGTAACTTTGGACAAGTCATTTAAATATTCTCTGACTGTGATAACCAGGTATCACAGGGTTGTCATAGGGATGGAAACGGGTAGATAAGTTTTAGCCTCCCCCTAAAAGGGGGTGGGAGGGTGATGTCTCTTCCACTATTGAACTTCCTGGACTCTAGATTTCTGAGATTTGATCTTCCAAAACATTTGGTATAATCTGGTTTTTTTTAAAAAAAAAAAATTTAGAAGAGGAGTGAGGAATAAGGCCTGGCTTAAGATAAATTTCTCTGCCCCTAGTCTCGCCAACGATCAAGGGAGAGATGAATTGCTCCTGGTAGAGTAGAGAAAGCTTGACTCCTAAAATATCCTGTCAGAAGAGCAATCAGCAAACATTCACTGTCTTCCTTCACAAATCTTTAGCACACGTCTCAGCGCCTCCCTCAAACGGCGTCCATGCCAGGCACGAGTGACAGCCAAGGCCCAGATGTCTCCGGATCATTCATCACAACTGCCACCCCCCAACCCCTTCCATTCCAGGTCCAGCGGCCTCCAGCCATCACACCCTGCCCTGCCCGCCCCGCCCCAGGGCCGCCAGCCTCACCAGCTGTTCCCGGCGGCTGGAGCTCCGATCGGTTGGCGCCCGGCGGCCCCGAACATTAACAACACCCAGGAGCCTGGCCTCGAGGCTCAGGCCCGAGAACAGACTCCAACTACTACAGAACCGGCGACTTCCAAAGAGCAGTTCAGCATTTTGAGATGAGCTTCCGGAAGCAGCCTGGAGGCGGAAACCGGAAGACCGGAGCAACCATTAGTTCCCCTCCTCCTGTTTTTTTTCCCTTCTTATAATCGCCTCTTTTGACTCATAGAAGACACAGAGGCAAATCAGTTGAACTTTTTGCCACACAAAATTTCATAATTCTCTTTTGGGGATTCTTAGAACTTAAACAAGATGAAAGTAAAGAGGCGTGAAGAAATAGTCGGACCCCTGGGAATGGCCTTTGGTGTAGCCCAGTTGCCATGGAGACCGACAGTAACACCAGTTGTAAACTCCATGGCAAGAGGGGATGGCCACGTTAGCCCTGCTGCAAGCTCGGCAGACTTATGTAGGAAAGCAGTACTACTATAGGAACAAGTAAGTCATGAAGGACTGATGTGACTTTAGCTGTTTGTTCCTCAGCAGTAGTTTTTTATTAACAAATTCCTAAATTTAGTAAGTAGCACACAGTTCTCCCCTTAACGGGCTGCAAGCATAATCAGAAGTGTAGTGTTATCATACAGACAGATTATAGATAGAGACAGGCAATAAGTACTCAGCTTGAGATGATTTAAGGAAAAGCCCAGCATAGATAAAATTGTAAAGTGAAGTGAGTTTTTTTTTGTTGTTGTTGTTGTTTTCTTGGACACTATTACTCTGCAATTTGATGAAACCTATGTTCTTTCTGTGGAAGGTTTCATAGCCTGACTGGGGTCACCCAGGCTAGCTAGCTTAGTGAGCTCATGTCCCCCATCTACCTAAGGAGTTGAGCCTTCATTATTTCACAAACATCACTGAACTCAATTGTTCTATGACTCATTTGTTTTCTTAAAGTGAAAGTATCTAAACCATTCTGACAAGATCATTAGTACCAATAAATTAATTACTAGAAGAGGGCTAAGGAAAACACTAGCAGCCTTCTTTGTCTCCCTACACTCAAATCTTCAGGCCCAAGAAGAAGTTCATTTTTAAAATGGCCCTCTGTAAGCATTGCCCTGGGAGCATTTCCAACTTAAGAGAAACTGCAAAACAGTGAATTAGACTATGATAGAATATAGTGATAGACTATGATAGAATATAGAATATAGTAACTAACATTTATCAGAGAAAGTGTCTCTTTTTTGCTCACTATTATTTCAGTCTTCAGTGTCTATCATAGTTCCTGACAAATGATAGCTGCACAATAATTATTTGTTGAATACTTACAGTAATGACTCTTTCAATCAATCTTTGGTACTGGTTTAAGTAAACATACTACAAATGGCTAAAGATAGAAATTATTTAGTATGTATTTAATTAGCATTGATTTAACATATGTGGCAGGTGCTGTATTTATTTATGACATACATATATAAATGAAATAAGCTCCATCCCTCATGATGTTCACAGCCTAGTATGGCATATTGCTATTTACAAAATAATTACAGTAGGGTAAGATGATCAGGGAGAGAAACAACTAACATTTCTTGAGCACTGATTTTATAGCAGGCATTACACTAGAAAATTTTCATATGATATTTGGTTTTCACAATTTTACAAGTTAATGTATTGATCTATATTTTAAGAGCTCTATCATAGTGTTCTAGAAAAGCCTGGTAAAGTGCCACACAAAGGGAAATGATAAAATTTCTCTTAATGTATTTCAGTGTCAACTTTTGCCCCCATCTCCTGGCTTTTGACAATAGACATCTTTCCCCAAACTTGGAGATGGCTTGAAGAAATGGCTGGTATATGCAAATGCCATGATGAAAATAAGCTGACATTTCTAACATTTCATTTATATTGTTAATATTTTTCAGTGTTAAGGGAAGTCTCTAAAGGTCATGAGGGAATCAAAATTCTGAAGTTTGCCTCATTTTTTTAAAGCAGGGTATTGATAGCTTTAGTGCAAAAAAATCATATAAAATATTAATATATGGAAAAGTAAACAATTCCCTTGAGAAATTATTGTCATTTTCCATCTGTTATTGACTAGATCCAGTTCTTTCCAACCTTGAATGTGCATTAAGATCATCTGGGGAACTTGCTAATAATGCAGGTTCTGATTCAGTGTGTCTCAGTGCTAGAGAATTTGCATTTCTCACAAGAGTTCATGTGAAGCCGCATTTTGCATAAAAAGGGAGACTTTGTAGCAAAGGAACTGTGTGTGGGCCTAACATTTAAATCTTATCCTCATGAATTATATACTTATTCCCTTTTTACATGAGGCAAGGAAAATGAGATTCAGATAGATTGGGTAATTTCTGTAAGGTCACACAACTACTAAGTATCAAAGCAGAGTAATCTAACTCTAAGACTTCTGCTGTTGACTGCCACTAGACAAATTTTTCTTCCTACTACACCAGTCTAGTAAAGTGGCAGCAAGCACCAAAATCCAGAAGTCCAAATGGCTTGAGTATACTGTTTCAAATCCATTAATACATCCACAGGCAACAGAGTTGAAGGAGATTTTATTTTTCCTTGGTTTCTTTCAATGTCTTCCTTCTATGTTGGTAACAATGTAGTAACAAAAATGTTTCTACCTCTTTTGGCACAGGAATGATGCTGAAGTTGAAAAATGACTTTGTTGGGAAAATATATTACTAGGTAGTTGGGTTAAGCATCTTGTGTCCTCCAAGGCCTGGGATTCTGCCGAGGAAAACAGAAACTCCTCTGCCGATCAAGAGAAAGGGTTTGGGACTCCATGAAGTGAGCAGCAAATATAGGAGGAGATTATCCAATGAGAGAGCTAGGGAGCTTGGGGTAATGTGCATTGCCTAACCTACTCAAATCCCCTAGAGAGTTGCTCCCTCAGAGGGTGTTTGATATTCATTTATATTTTGGCCTACACATTAAAGAGGCTGAATAATATGTCCTGGACATACCAGGCTGAAAAAAAAGGTAGTACACAGTTGTTATTTGACAGAGTATTGACATTTTTTTGTTGTTTTTAAAACTTTCACTATTAATTCCTAGCTTCCTTTCTATTTTTTGCAAATTGTGAGATTTTCTTTGTGACTTATTGGTCAGTTATATTTTATAGTATACTTTGTGGAAAGAAAAGTTTTATCTATGTTTATTAATCATATTGTTCATTTTCCCCATATCCTTATTTGCATTTTATCTAGTTCATCTGTAAAACTCCAATAGGAATGAGTTAAAATGCTCCTCTTCTACTGTGTTTCTGTAGTAGTATCTCATTTTTATGTTATTTAATTTATATGTCATATATGTACTTGTGTGTCTATTCATTATTGGCTAATATTGGTGTCTTTCACCTGTTACATTTTTTACCTTTAAATTCTATTTGCTGGCTGGGCGCAGTGGCTCATGCCTATAATTCCAGCACTTTGGGAGGCCAAAGGGGGAGGATTGCTTGAGGCCAGAAGTTTGAGACCAGCCAGGGCAACCTAGCAAAACCCCAGTTTCCACAAAAAAATATTTTTAAAAATCAGCTGGGTGTGGTGGCATGTGCCTCTAGTCCTAGCTACTCTAAGACTGAGGCAGGAGCATCCTTTTGGCCCAGAAGTTGGAAGTTACAGTGAACTATGGTCACACCACTGCACTCCAGCCTGGATGACAGAGTGAGACCCTGTCTCTAAATAAATAAATAAATACATACCCTGTCTCTAAATAAATAAATATGTGGATAACTAAATAGCAAAGCAAGACCCTGTCTCAAAATAAATAAATGAAATTCCACTTGCCGTAATATAACTGTTGATCCTTCTTTATCTGATAGGAGTTAATCATATCATTCTGTATATTTTTCTTTGCAAGAGGCAAATTTGGAGGCTTTTAAAAATAAAAGATAGAGAAATTGATGATGGGTTAAGTTAGTTTCCTTACATTCGTTATTGTGATTAATATATAGGTATTTCACTTGTCACCCTACTTTAAGCTACTTTTCAATTCTTGTTCCTCTTTTATCATGACTTCTTTTTTTCTTTTTTTATTGAGGTAAAATATATGTATACGATTTGCCATCTTTACCATTTTAAGTATACAGTTCAGTGGTAATAAATATATTTATATTATTTTTCCCTTCATCCCTGACCTCTTATATATAAGCTATATTTTATTTTTTTATTTTAAAATAAGGAGCTTATTTCTAACATTTCTTATGAGAACTTAAGGTATTCTACTAAGATTCTCAATACTGTAATTATGAATTAAATATTCACTAATGAAATACTTCCTGAGCTCCTACTGTATGCTGAGTACTATTTTAAGTATTGAACAAAAGTCATGAGGGAAACAACATAAAGAAATAAACCTATATGTAGGGTTTCAGCTTGGGATAAGTGAACTGGGAAAGAATAAAGCAAAGTAAGGTGAACAGAGTGAATAATGAAGCTATTTTATATAGAATGGTCTGGGGAGGCTCTTCTGAGGTGATATTTTAGTGATTTAAAAAGTGAATCAATGGGCATACTAGATAGATATCTGGGGAAACACCTTGAGGGGCTGGAACAGGAAGTGCTACAGTCCTGTCGTCAGAAGCCTGCAAAGATTTGTTGAAGGACAGTGTTACTAAAACAGAGTGAACATGGCACAGAGTGGTAGAATGTGGGCCAAGTTATCTGGGGCTTTTAAAAAGCACAGTAAGAATATAGCATTCTATTCTGATCAAGATAGGAAGCCAGAGGAGGTTTTCAGCAGAGAAGTGATATGCTCTGACTTCTGTCTATAAAAATAATAAATAAGAAAGTGATCTCTGACTTATTTTTAAATTAAAGCATTTTGCTTTTTGTTTTTCTACTTTCCTCCTCCATTTCCATCTTTTTAGTTTAACTCTTTGTGTCTAGATTTTAGTTTCTTACAAAATTTAATGCAAATCTGCATCTATAAATGAAAAAAAAAAGATAACAATTGAAAAACTTTTAAACCATTTGTAGTTTTCTAAAGATATGTAAGCAAAAATCAGCCTGGTACACACACAAATCTCTTTTAATTGAGTTAGCTGAATGGAAAAGTACATGTAGGGGAATATTGAGAAAGCAGTTACTAAGGAAGATGGCTGAATATTGTGCAGAGACATTCTATAGAGACAAAATGTTCACCTGTCCAATTTCCAGATCTCTTACTATCTAAAAGGGGTGTAGAGAGTGCATGGGAATAGAGTTAAGAAAGTAGAAAGAGAAATAAATGTTATTGAATTCCTACTATGTGCTGAGCACTCTGGTAAATGCTTTCACAAACATCTTATGTGATTATTTACAATAATCTTATGAGATGATTTTTATTATTCCTAGTTCACAGGTAAATAAAGTGAGATTTAGTGTAAATTACTTTACAAAGATAAAAAAACATCAAAAATCTAGTGAAGTAAGATCCATTTCAGTTCAAATTTATATTTCAGATAAGGAATGTTAAATCATTAAGTCTCTACATGGAAG